TATATTTAGACATAATTAATAAAACGTATGTATATTATTAATATGGATATTGTTAAGTAGTTAAATATTTTTGTTTAACAATCGTAATGCAAAGTAAGAAAAATAAATAAAATTAATTAAGTCATGAAGCTCTTAAATAAAGAGTCTAATTTAGACATAAATTTTGAAGGAAATTTACAACTAAAAAAATTAAATACTGAAGAATTAAATTCTAAACGGCCAAATGCTGCCTTCAAAAAAAGTCTTAACCCGAATCTACAAAAATTAACCCAATATAGTACAGATTTGAATAAAATCTCTTCAAATTTAAGTAATAAAAATCAACTAATCTTAAATACAAAAATATCTAAAGTAAGAGAATTAGCATTAGAAGATACAGCTCAAAGTTCTAATTTAAACCGGAAAGGTAAAAAATATTATGAAAGAATAGATATGTTAAATGTTTTAAACGTAGAAAAATATAGACAAAATAACCCGCTCGCGCGAGCGGCGAATATACTTAACCTATATCCTGTACAAGGAATAAATAATATAATTCTAAGTAATTACTTAAAATCTTTTTCAAAATTTAATGTAGAAATAGCTAAATCTCAAAATATAAATTTTAAATTTAATAACGTAAAAAATAAATTTTTAAAAAATATATCTTCTATATTAGAAAATTCATTTATGACAATGTCAAGTTTAATTAGTAGACCTATTTATAATATTACACCTCATAAAGTAGTTATACGGTTATTATTCTTTTTAGTTAATAAAAATAATTCTAAAATTAAAAAATCTAAATTCTTATCTGTTAATAGTAAAAATTTAGAAATATTATGTGCTAATTTAAGTAAAATTTTAAAAAAACCAGTAGAACTTGATTTAGTCAAATTACATTATCCTTTTTACGATAGTAATATATTAGCTAATCTTCTTGGTAGAATTTGTGATATTAATTATAAACCTTATATTTTTATATTAGATAAAATTTTTAATAAAGCTAATATTAAAAATCCTACAATAAGAATACCTGAAACTAATTCTAATATCCCTACTTTCTTAACTGGACTTAAAATCAGATTAGCAGGTCGTTTATTAAAACAAAAAATAGTCCCTCGACATACAGTTAAAACTACTCAACACGGAAGTTTAACTAGAAGTAGTGCTGATATTGTAACTAATAGTAGATTTACTTCAAAAAACAAAAGAGGTACATTTAGTTTTACTGTTACAATGGGACATAGATTTTTTTAAATTAAACAAATTAATCTATTTTTAGTTTTTAAGTAATATTATTTAAATAATATTTTTTATGTTAATAATTTATCCCCCTCCCGCATCCCGAGGCCGCGAGGCACCCCTACGGCTGCCGTGCTTATTAATTTAATAAAATTAATTAACCCTGTCCTTTTTATTGTTTTTTTAATTAAAAAAAACACAGAATAACAAAAGGAAGAGGCTTGGTGGAAGAGCCGATCGGATTTTTAATATATTATATATTATATATTATATATTATTATAAAAGAGTTATATAATATATATTACTATAAAAGTGTATAAGCTTATATACTTAAATCTGATCTTGATAAAGGGTAGTTGATTAATTGGTGAATCGCTCCATTTGGGATGGAGACATAATGCGTGTTCGAATCGCGTCTACCCTATAAATATTTTTCCCGCCTTATCGGCATAGTTTGTCTTTAATTAGGACGGTTAAAAAAATGGTGTTATGGCAGAGTGGTTATTGCGAGGTACTGTTAATACTTTTTTCAGAGGTTCAATTCCTCTTGACACCTTAACTTAAAAATAGGCTTATAAGATAAGAATCCGTGTTTGACTCAGGCCTCCCCATCCCCTTCCCCAATAGGGGTTAGGGGATGGGGAGGAGCAACAGTTCTAATTCCAGAGGCCGTTTTATGATGAATTTGCAGAATAGGTTGATATAGATCTGTTTTAGTTTCTACATCAACATCAGCGATCCAATATATATTATTTAAAATAGTAATATCTCCATCGAACTGATTAATTTGCCCTACTCCCGAGGCCGCACTTATTAATTTAATAAAATTAATTAACCCTGTCAGTAAACTTTTGTTTTAGTCCTTTTTTTAACAAAAAAAAGGAAACAAACAAAAGGAAGAGGGAAGGGAACAAATTATTAGCCATAGAAGATGGATATAAAGCGTTCACATCATAAACGTGAATATTTTTACCATAAGGTTTATAGTTTTCCGTTGATTCACCTGTAAATGATTCTCTAATGAAATCAAATATTTTACCTTTAGTTAAAGGGATAGTATTTTCTTTAAGATAAAATTTTCTGAATATTGCAAAAGATATTGAAGGTGTTGTAGGATATTTATCGATATTAATTTGCCAATTCTCAAAAACTAATCTTCTAAAGCTTATTCATGGTTCACTGATAATGCTAAGTCATTATTAGGAAACATATTGAGATCTAAATATAAAGGGTACACCGTATACTTACATAACTTTAGTAAATTTGATATTATTTTCATGTTAAGGGATATTTATCAATTAACTACTGAAGGGTTTAATGTTGAAATAATAAAAAGAGAGGATAAATTTATTAGCATTAAAATTTTTAATACTGATAAAAATATTTCTATTACTATTAAAGATTCATTATTATTGTTACCTTCTTCATTAGCTAACCTTGCTAAACAATTTAAATGTGATGTACAAAAAGGTACTGAACCAGTTTACATTGGTGATGATCAAATTGGACAACAGTATATAATGGAGAATCTAGGTCATTATTCTAAAGATGTTGAAAAGATTAGGGACTATATGGAATGGAGAACAAAAGTCCAGGCATATGTTGAAGCAGATTGTATTGCTTTATTCGAAATATTAGTAAAATTTAGAGCACAAGTATATAATAACTGGGGGATCATAGTTGATAAATATCCAACTATTCCTAGTTTAGCTTTTGCTATTTATAGAGCTAATTTTTTAGAAGAGGGTACAATACCCATCCTTAAAGGTAAAATTCATGATTTCATTAGAAGTTCATATACAGGTGGCTCTACAGATAATTATATCCCATATGGTGAAAATATTTATGTGTACGATGTTAATTCTTTATATCCAGCTTCAATGGAAAAAAATTTATTCCCTGTAGGTAAACCTATTCAATTTGAAGGATTTAATGAAAATTTTCTTTCTAATAAATATTGGTTCGCAGAAGTTTTAGTGGAAACACTAAAAGATTTACACGAACCTTATTTACAAATTCATTATAATAACCGAACTGTATCACCTATTGGTAAATTCAAAATGATAATTAATTCATGTGAATATTACAATGCTGTAAACAGAGGTGATTATAAAATTCAAGTCTTAAATGGTTATGCATTTGATAAAAAAGATCTTTTTTCTAAATTCGTTACATATCTGTATCAATTGAGATTAACTTATCCTAAATCAGATCCAATGAACCTAATAGCTAAATTATTAATGAATTCACTTTATGGTAGATTTGGTATGAAACCTGATCTGGATATAACTGAATTCATTACTAATGTGGATTTAAAAAATAAGATACAAGAAGGTAAATTAAACTCTCTTCACGATCAAATTAAAATTACTGATGAAGTATTATTAATTAGTCATTCAACTACAGAATCTTCTTCTGTAAAAAATTCTATTGGTATTGCTTCAGCAGTAACTGCATATTCAAGAGTTCATATGTCTCAATTTAAAAAATACCTAATTTTAGATTATTTTACGCTGATACCGATTCAGGTTTTTTTGATAAACCTTTACCTAATGATCTTATTAGTAATGAACTTGGTAAAATTAAGTTGGAATATATATTCAAAGAAGCTGTATTCTTAGGACCTAAAATTTATGCAGGTATTACCACTACTGGTAAATATATATGTAAAATCAAAGGATTTAAAAATGCCTCTTCTATTCCATTTGAAGTTATGAAATCTTTATTACATAAAGATAGTTCAGTAGAATTAAGCCATGTTAAATGGTTTAGGAATATTGATTCACAAACAATTGAAATGAAAAATCAGTTATATAACCTTCAAAAAACTTCTAATAAACGAACTTTTGTTTATAATAAAAATGTTGCAATCGATACTAACCCAATCAAATTGGATACTCTTAATGAATAATCCCTAATTTAACCATTAAAAATTTAATTTATCCCCACTCCCATAACAATAATTGATTATTATTCTCCCCAGTTAGAGTTGATGATAATTTGACTTATTTTCGCATTTTCTGTGGGGGATATATACTATCTTGATCTAATCTGTTACTTTACACAAAAACAAAAAGAACACCTATATGAGAAAATTTATTATTTATCTGTTTCTAAGTATCTGTAATAACTTTGCTAGAGGAGGACTATCACTTTGGGTGGTATTGCGACTTTCATTTATTGGAGTGGTGCTTATTATTTTGTTATGTTTTTGGGATGGAGTTCAATTTGTATGGGTGTCATTGGTTTATGGTGGGTTACAGCTTTGGTTTATAAATTTAAGTATTTTAAAATGAATAGTAATTTAATGATGAAAACAGTAGAAGTGGGTAAACAAATCTTATTTAAGAAGTTCTGTACACATTATTTAGAAATTTTAGGTTGGTTCCTTGGTCCTACTGCTATTTTTATGAAATTTTTTAGTAATTTAAATATTTATGATTTTTTTACCGCTTCATTTTGTTTTTTAGGTTTTTTATTTGTATTATCTTTAAATAAAGTTATTCAAATTGTATTTAAAATTTATTTAGCTTTTAAAATTATTGATAATTTAATTAATGAAATGTGTTATAATTGGCAAAGAAGCACTAAAATTAATTTTAATAATGATCCTTCTCCTTGTGCCCTAAATAGGATAGGGGTTTTTTTATAACAAATTTTCTATTTTTAATAATAGACCTTATGCTTTTGCTTTTGCTAATGTTAGATTTTATTCTATGGCTAGAGATACACAGAATACAGAAGATAATGCTTCGGTTCCGAATATTTTTATTGATAAGGATATTGCCTCCACTCCATCTGATAGTCTTAATTTAAATAATGATCATAATTTTATTGACATTAAAAATGTATCCAAATTTTATGGTTAATAGAGATTTGTGTTTAATTTATAAAGATGCTATTAATATAAATTCTGATAATTTGACTTTTTTCCTGTGGGGCCTAGTGGAACAATATATTTTTACCACGAGACTCATAAAAACAGTGGGCTGTAAAGTAGGGGTCACTTTGTTTCTTAGTTCTTGCTTCATTGACTACTTTTATTCTCCTTTTTGTGCTTGATTTCTTGTCTTTTTCGGTGTTCTTCTGAACCAATCCTTCCTATTTCTTTATTTTCTCTTTTTTTCTTGCTTTTTCCTAGACTCTGAGCCTAATTTACTGCCCCTTCTAAACAATTTAAATGTGATGTACAAAAAGGTACTGAACCAGTTTACATGGGTGATGAACCAATTGGTCAACAATATAAAATGACTAACCTTGGACATTACAGTAAGGATATAGAAATGATTTATAACTTCATGGACTGGAAAATTAAAATTCAGAGATACTGTGAAGCCGATTGTATAAGTTTATATCAAGTACTAATGAAATTTAGAGATCAGGTATTTTGGAAATTCGGGGTTGATAGTAATTTATATCCTACAACACCATCACTGTCATTTGCAATATACAGAACACATTATATGCCCGATAATTGTATTCCTATTCTTAAAGGAGAAATTCATGACTTCTATCAATTTTTAAAAATTTATTATTACCCCCCGATCGCATAGGATATAGCCATGTAGACAATTTTACGCCTAAAATCGATTTTTCTTCCTTTACAAAAAACAAAAGGAGAAAAGCAGTGAAAATGAGAATAAAAATAAGCACAAATTTTTTTGTGATGCTATTTACGTCCGCCAAAATCAAAATAATTTACGTATCTCTAAAATTTAGTAGATAGTGACGTAATTCTAACAGTATTCATAATTTATATTATTAATCCATCCCCTGTGTCCCCTCCCCTCTCCTCTTTCCCTCTTTCCCTCTTTCCCTCTTTCCCTCTTTCCCTCTTTCCCTCTTT